CCCCCGGCGAGACTCCCCGCATGCGCACAGAGCACCCCGCATGCGCACAGAACACCCTGCATGCGCACAGAAGACCGCTCGAGTGGGGGTCGCCAGGCGATACTCCGTGCGTACGCCATACGCACGCACACCGTCCGTGCGCACAGAACACCGCGGGCAGTCTCAATTTGACGAGATACGATAATTGCGAAAATTCTTAACCTACTAATTAATTCTCTTTTAAAAAAAACAGTGCAATCACGTAAAATCCAATAGTCAGTGAAAAATAATTGATTGAAGAGAATTTAGCGTGTGGATTTTGGTTTTGACCATCAAAAACACTTCGATTGGATCTCTGAAACGGGAATGGAAGTATCAGATACATTGAATTACGTTCCGTTTTCTAATCCCGTCAGCTCGAGTGCCGGTTCGTTTGTGAAAACTGCTGCATCACCTGTAAGTCGCTGTTATTTTTTAATAAAAAATACGAGGAATCAATTTATTTATTGTTATTGCCTGATTTTTGGAGACTGGGTAATGCTTCTATAGTTTATTCTATTTTTGAAACTTTGAGGTCATGTAGATACTACACATCCCATAAACCAAGGCCATACTTTACATTTTTTCCTGTTATTTTAAATCATCATTTTTCAAATAGTCCCACCAGTGCCGAACAGCTGCAGAGTGGGGATGACATGGAGATGAGGGGAAGGTGATAGTGACCGCCGCGCTGTCTCGTGCCGCCTGAGAGAACTTGTCCCCTGTTTTTGGCTTGACAATACCTGCTTGTATCATACGATCATACCTTAGAAACCCGCAGAACTGAGCCTCTACTTTAGTCAATCCACTTTGAGTTTACCATCTGCTTGACAATTTCAATTCCAAAAGTTGATTAATTAGTCACTACGAGTCGCTTCTGATGCTGTAAGCCCTCCACAGACACTCGACACTCACAAATATCTTCAATCTCAGTTGGAACGTACAAAATATTTTTGTGAATGACGTTTGGTCATCGGTTAATATATTTTTGTGGTTATTATTCAATACAACTGCTCCAATAATTTTATTCCACACACCGGACACCAGGACAATAGCGTCACAATGGAGGAGATATTTCACGAGAAGGTAAACCCACAGAAGACAACACCACCATAAATATTTGCGTATTACTTTACGCTCATCCCTCTGAAGCAAGAATTAATAAATATTTCATTAATCTATCCCATTTTCAGCAAGAGGGGTATTTGTGTGGTCAGCACTGCTTGAATTCTCTTCTCCAAGGCTCGTATTTCAATGCTGTAGACCTGGGATGTCTTGCCAGACAGTTGGATGACGAAGAGGAAGCGAGAATGGCTGAAGCTGGTATAGACAGTGAAGATTATAAAAGATTTAGAGAAGTAACTATGTATTGAGAAATTTATTTATGCATTAATTCATTCGAGAATGTGAATCGAATGATTCCCTCGTTTAGTTATTTTTCCATTCCATTGAAACAATTCATCGGAAATATTATCGGGCTTTTCTCGGTGACTGACAATATTTTGATTTTATTTTTAGCAACCCTCTGGCAATGTGGACGACAGTGGCTATTTTTCAGTTCAAGTGATAAGCAGTGCCCTCAAAGTTTGGGGACTGGAACTGATACCGTACAACAGCAGAGAGCCCATAGCTATCATCGCACAGAATGATCCTACGTAGGTGTTAAATCATTAGCGTTCATCATCTATTAATACATTTTCCCGTCAATTAGTCATGATGATATTTACATTATTTTTACGTCCAACTCCAACTATTTTTATATTATTTCTCCGTTATTTTTAGACAAATGCAGGCGTACATATGCAACTACAAAGGTCACTGGTTCACAATCCGTAAAATTGGTAATCAGTGGTTCAATCTCAACTCTATTTTAAGTGGCCCTCAGCTTTTATCCAACACCTACTTGTCGATGTACTTCGCACAATTGTTGCAAGAGGGTTAGTCTATTGGCATAAGATTTTAATTACTGGCAACTCAGTGAATATTTCAATTGCCATTTTATTTATATTTCCAACAGGATATTCAATATTCATCGTCATTGGACAATTGCCAGAGTGCAAGGCCGACGAAATACTACTGAAGAATCCAGTAAGAGTTACCCAGAAGTCCGGAAAAGCGAGTAATGATGAGGGTAAAGTGTTTGGATCTGGAGGTCACAGATTGGGAACGATGGAGGAGGATGAGGCGAAGATACGAGAGGCTGTGGCTGGGTTGGAGGCTGTTAGAGTGCCATCGAGTTCAAGTGCAGTTGGAAGTACAGCGAAACCATCAGACAAGCCACGAGAGAGGATAATACCAATTAAAATTGAAGGTGTGGAGAAGGAGGAGAATGACGACGAGGATTTGCAGAGAGCACTGCAGCTCAGTCTCCAGGATGTCGATGAGACAACAGACAAACCCCTCAAATTACGACTGGATTTAGACACGAATAAGTCCGAGAGGTTCTTTGAAACGATCGAGGAGTCCGACGATGATGACGAATTGAGAAAAGCACTTCAATTGAGTCTCGAGTGTGTTACAGCTCCACCAACTCCAGATCCTGAGGATGTACGCTGGAAACGTCTCAGATATCTTGGAATTCATCCACCCAACAGCGAGCCCTCGACTAAACTAAATACTTAACAGTGAAACTGCAGCTGATGGTTAACATTCGGGAATTATCTTCTTTTTATATCTCATCTTTCAATCAAGTTTACAATCCACTGTTGTGACTGTCTTTGATTCCAATGGAATTGTAGAAAGATTATACACATATGATTGAAATTGTAAACCTGTGTTCTAAATAAATTTCTATATTCATTTTAATGGTTAATCAAGTGGTTTTTTATTTTTAGCACTGAGTGAACGTCAGTTTGCATGAATAAACCATTTTTTATCCTCAACGTGTCTCGTTCTATTTATTGACACTTCAATTTGGTTCTAAAACGTACAATATTTCGAACCAGAATAGCTTCAGTGTGGCCAGGAGAATAGAAAATCACAGGTGAATTCCAATTCTTTCTCACATCTTCTGCTCTCCTAATATATCCGACGATATTCCGGTTCGAAATGCTGTCTCTGGACGGCTGGATACGGCGAAACTCATCCGGAGAGTAGAAATTATGCGAATTTATTCTAGTAACTCCTACGACTTTCTGTGCTCCTAATAGATTCCGGACCATTGCCGTCGAAAAGCAAAATAATGAGAGAGAACTGGTGATACCTTCTACGGTCTTCTATTATCCTGTTACATTTGAAGATATTCTGACTTAAAATATTGTCTCTGGACGTCTGGATAGTGCAAAATTCATTAGGAGAGCATAAACTGTGAGAAAGTACTGGTGGTTTCTCCAATTGTTCTCTGTTTTACTCGTGAATATCGTACTATTGCAACAGGAAAGTAGAAAGTACGAGGAGCTAGTGCAATAACTCTCATCACTTTCTGCTGTCCTAGTACACCCGAAGATATTCTGGTTCGAAATATTGTCTCTGGACGTCCGCTGAACGTCCAAATGATGTCCTTGAGAGTCGAAAACCACCACCGTTTTGGAAAAACATCACCAGACCACGCAGTACCAACAACAAAACCTGCATTAAATAACATAAAATATATCCGAAAAGGAGTATGAATTAATCTATGAAAAATGTTGAAATTTTCCGATGCATTTTCTTCATGTTTTATGACAAAAAATTGCTGCGTTTCCAGTGACAGCTGAAGATGACTTCCACACACTTTGTCGATAACTTCTTCTCGGTTCATGTTTCCTTAGTACATTCGGAGATTTTTCTGGTCCGAAATACTGTCATTGGCATTTTCAATAGTTGAGACGACTATTCGGGCTCGAAAAATCCTAGAATCTATCAGGATAGCATGAATGGGTAGGAGTAATTCCGTTGTTTACGGAGAGGAAAGTTCGAAAATTGTCGATTGGATTCTCTGAATGTTTGGAACGAACATTTGGGCTTGAAAAATCGCCTGATGTATCAGGAATACAGAATGCGGAAAGAGGTCAACTCCTGGTAGCCACCAAAAACCCTCAGAATATTTGAGTCTAAATATTTGGTCTCGAAAAATCGCAGAAAGTATCAGGATCACAGAACTGTCGAAGAGATATCCGGCTCCAGCGCATGCGCATTATGAGCGCATGCGCCCATGAACATTAGGAACGCGCCTGTAGGTCATATCGACAAGACGTAAATACTTCAATAACATTTATCCTTTTGCATAAACATTGACTTTCAGAAGTATTTATTGTTTAATTCCACTAATTTTCTAATAAACGGAAAAGAGATTTCTGAATGGAAATTTCGTTAATAAATGCTTCGAATGTACATTTATTTCTAAAAGATGTCAGTGTAACAGTTATCTTTGACAGTCGATTCTTGACAAAAACATGACATTTATTTATATGATTTTCTGACTGGAATGTAAAAATCTAAAATTGCAAAATGGTTTATCTGCATTTCCCATCGAATTTGACGGAGGAGGAGTTGATGCTGCAGGCGAAATACAACAAATTAAAGAGAAAGGTTGCAAAATAAAAGATTGAGGTTATATTTTTATTATGAATCATTGTTTCACTGTGTTTATTGTTGTAACAGAAAAAAGCTCTTCAAGATTTGAAAACACCGAAACCAGAGCCTGAGCGAATGCCTCAAGCTCCAAAACGTCCAACGGAAGCCAGAGATGCACGTGAAGTAGCGAAAAAATTGATAAAATCAGGTGTCATCACAGCTCCAAAGACTCCAAAACGACCAGAGCAATCATTCAAGCGTCCCCGCGGCTTGGAACGCAAATTAAATAGCACAGAGAAGACTGTTTGCTCCTATCAGCCATTCTCAGCAACGCAATCAGAAGAAGAAGAGGCTGAAACAGCAGCTAGACCTCGTGTCAAGGATCTCTATGACAGTTTTATAAGTGCTCAGAGTACTGAGGAAAATCCACCAGCTGCTAAACCAACTCCCACCAAATCTGATTATAAACCGAGAACTGGGAATACCCTATTTGTATGTGGATACAAAATATCGTTGGATTTCTTGAAGAAACACTTCAGTTCTTTCGGAAATATCATCAATATCACCATGGAGGCTGAGAAAAAGTGAGTAAAAATTCCCAAGCAGTACTTTAAATTAAAAAAAAAAACTATTCAAAATAATTCTCTGCATCGCCCTCACCTTCCTTATCTGACATACAATATTTATTTTATATTAATAATAAAAAATGAGGCTAAATATAATTTTCTGGACAAGTCTTCAGTAAAAAAACTTTTTGAAAACTTCCAAAAATAAAATATCTAAAATGGTTATATTCCAATTAATGTTTATTCAATACGAAAATTGATATTCTTATTTATTGAGCAGAAAAAGTTACAAAATTCAAATGGGAATTCTCACGTAACGATTTATTTCGTTTAAAAAATCAGATTTATTTCATAAATATTACCAGAATTAATTGAATCAAATTATCGAATCCCTTCATTTCCAGGCACTTCTGTCGTTTCTCCGTTCCAAATGTAGTTGTAAAATCATAAATAATTTAGCGCTCGTCTCATGATGCATGAGTGAACGAATCAACAAGTGTTCTGTATTCTATGATTAATTTACAGCCGAGGTTTCGTAACATTTGAGAAATCCGAAGCAGCAGAACGGGCGATAAACGACATGGACGGCAGTATGGTATCCTCAATCCAATTGAAAGTGTCTTTGGCTCGTCGTCAGCCAATAATTGACCCAATAAACGACACAACATCCAGCTCTATGTGGTCCTCGATAGCAGCGAACTACTCTCAAAAATCAGCCCACAAAGACCGAAGGGACGTGATGGTATACGAGGAGGATCTTTTCCAATGACAGATAATTCTCCTGTTCTTAATTTATCATCAATGAATATTTTATGTATTAAAACATATAAGTAACAATTATTCATAGACTCAACAATTGTAGAAATATATGTGAAATATAATATTAATTATGATATACCTTAGTATTATACGAAGTCGATTGTATAGTCATTCGTCGAGGTTTCGATACAAAAAATCAGAGTGCACCCGGGCCATACAACAGAAGTGAAACTTCTGGAAGGATTATCGCGTATTCCAAACTATTGAACTTTGAATCTCTCTCTCAATTCTGATACCGTTATTACTGGATTGATATTGAAGATTATTAATTGTTACGCAGACCGAAGATAACACGTTCGATAGATTAAATTGGGCCGGGCTCATTTTACTCCTAATAGCAGAAAGAAATGTCTGATGAAAGAAAGAGAATAGGTGAGAGAGGGATCAATACATCCGTCACGTTGATTGCGTCACTTCCGCTTCTATTTTCGTGACGATTTTTCATTCTACTCCAGCCAAAGTTTCACTTAAAAAAAGATAATTATTCAGTAGATTCGCACCAGCATTCGCATTTTTAAAATAAACTTGGTCGAGTAGAATTAAAATCTCGATCTGCTACCCTTCAAGAATTATTTCCCATTTTTATAGTTTAATAAATTATCTTTTTATAATCACTCGAGCGATTTTCGAGACTTGAATTTAGAATTAATTACACTAACAAGATGAAATTCACAGATCGCGTTCGATCGATAGTAAATTAATATGAATCACTGACTCATTGTTTCAAAGACTATTTAAATTGTTAATAAAAAAGTAATTCTCAAATTACTTTTTGTGTTTGCATCGATTTTTTCGAGATACCATAGTCCCCGCCGGGGAACTATAAAGAATTTCCGGTGCGAGTCGACTACATAATTATCAAAAAAACAAATTAATCATCATGTCGATAATTGGAGTCTCCTTTACCAAAAGCATGCTCCTACAGCCGTGGTGGATTGAAGTAATCCCAGTGATGATGATGAGTGATTGTTCTGGGCCCAGCAAAACAGACAATTAGAAGGCCAGCAATGATCAGCAGAAGTGCACAAAGTGTGAGCTCCACCTCCCTGATCTTTGCCTCGGTCTCTTCCTGACTAACTCTGGAAACAACGTAACTCACGAAATGACGCATTGCACGTTTACCAACTAGTCTCAGTGCTCGTAATAACTGCTGGGTCATATCAATAACGCCTGGCTCATCATTTCCAGAGTTAGAAGGTGGTTGGGGTGTTTGAAATTGTTGCGAGAGGGTAAAAAATTGAGAGGGTATCTGTGATGTCTGAAATGCGATAAACTGTGGTGGTATTGGTGATGAACGCTCAAGAGATTCTGGTGATTCTGGATATTCCGGTGAAGTTTCTGGTGAATACGATATCGTTGCGCGTTGTGGTTTTGATTCGGACGTTTCGAATTTCTTGTGAGGTGCACTAGGTGCATTCTGAGGCGGTGAAGGCTCCACAGTATCTGGAGTGACTGAAATAGCTGGAGGAAGAGATCGAACTGGTGATGCAGTTTCTCTGCTAATTAATGCACCTGTTGTGGTGGTTCGGACTGGAGATTCTGCCCTGGACGTTGGTCTTGATGATGTCGCTGATAATTCTTTGCTCGACTCCTCTGGATGCTGAATCTCTTTAACAGGCACTTGTTCGGATCCTTTACTCGAGTACAATGCACGAGTTTCCATGGATTTTGTTAGGGGCTCTAGTTGCAATTGATCGAGCTTTGGAGATCCTCCTCTTAATTCCTTAACTTCGATCACCGTTGATTCAGTCTTGGAGTCACTTAGGGAATCCTCAGGCGCTCTAAATGGAGTTCCAGGTGAGGATTGAGGCTGAGAAGCCGCAACGGCTTCCAATTGATTCCTAATTGCTACCAATTCTCTCAATAACGAAGGATTAATCACAGGCTCATCATCCTCAGCGCAAGTAATCTCTGACGCTGACACAACAATAGCATCCAATTCCGAGACAGCTATTTTATGTGCCTCCAACGTTGAAACACTCAATTTATCCACACGTAAATCGCCAACTTCTAGATTAGCTATTTTAAATGTCTCACTGGTGAGTAAAGCCGTTAATCTCTCCTCTAGCTCCTCAATCGTTGTAATTCTTGGATCATGAGTGTCTTCCTCTCGTACTGAGAGACTCTGGCTTCTGGTTCTCGGTGGTCTCTGCGGTGGCACCTCATCTGGAATACCGGATGAAGTAATCGCGACTGGAAGTGGTGGTACATCGGGAACATCAAAATTCATCTCAGGTGTTTCATCCCTTCGCTCTCTCGCTAGCTCAGGCTCTGATCTTGTCGATGTTCCTCTCAAAACATCATGATCTAGATTTGGTATTTCTTCGTGGGAAATCGCTGTGATGTGAAATGGACGTGGAGTTGGAATTCTCTCAGTTGATACAAGAATTTGAGATCCTGTTAACGAAGGAGTTATGACAGCTCTGGCTTGGATGATTTCCTCCTCAATGACCATGTCATCAGGCAGGGGATCAGTCTGTGTGAAAGAGGCGTAAGTAGACAAATCTTGTTCATCATCTGGTGTCTGCAGTTTATCCTTTCCTTTAGTGCGGACAGGTCTAGGTGGAGGTGGCAAGGGTCTGCCTGCCATTTTCATCATCACTTGACCACTCATGAGTTCCCGGAGGTGCTCTCCATCGATATCCTCCAGACCATTCACCTCCTCGGGGTCAATCTCATCGTAAGGCGTCACCCGATCATCCTCCGGACGATCGTATCTTGGACGGAGTGTGCTGTAGGCCCTCTGAGGTCTCAAAGGCCCTGACGATCGTCTCGGTGTTGTCGCAAATTTATTCCTCCGTCTTCTAGGAGGCGGCGGCCTCGGAGGCTTCTCTCGTTTATCAATAACTGCGTAACCCGGAAAATCCCCCCGTGAGTCCGCGTCATTATCTTTCGACATCACTTCATGATCCTCTTCTTCATCATCTATGTAGGCCACATCCAGGGACTCAGCACCTCGTGAAATGATATCATCATCCTGGAATATTGATGTTCCTCTCGATCTTGAACGTCTCTTCGGGGGGACTGGAACCTGTTCCACTTCCAACTCAAGTTCGAATTTTGATTGTGGCTCAATGTAATCGTCTTCTACTTGCGTAATTATATTCACTGCCTCTTTACTTGGCATTCTCGCAGGCTTCACTGGAGGCTCCGACTGCGGTCTTACAATCTCCATCCTCCAGGTCTCGAGATCGGGTGTGCGACGGCCATTGTAAGACTCTGCTGCATTCACCAGCTGTATTGTCTCTTGTGCACGTCTTTTACGTCTTTGGGGAATCGGTGGAGGAGATACTTCCGGGGAAACTTCAATAATTGGATCAGAAGGAATTAGGGAAGAGCTTCTCAGAGATGATCTTGATTTTCTTCGGAGTGGTTTGACCACGATTATGTCATCCAGGGGCTCCACGTGACTAAGATCCATCGGTGCTGATTCAGCGTGATAGACAATACGATGATGAGAGCCTGAGAGACTGTCCGAGTTGTCGAGGATATTGGATCCATAATCTGACTCTGCGCTTCTCCGTAAGATTCGTTTAGGTCTGTTGGGGGGGATATTCTCGATGGATTCCAGTGATTCTCTCGTTTCTTCCTTTCGTTTCTGGAGATTTCTCTTGCGAGCTGGTCGTCGGGGTGGCGGTTGTGGAGGAGAATCGAGAATAATTACCGCATCAGCTAGTGCATTTCCTGGTCCTCTCAAGACCTCTCGTATCTCTGATGTCAGGTATTTAGCCACTGTCATGTCGTCCTGACTGATTCCCTTCATTCTCACAAAAATTTCGTCTGAATCGATCTCCTCGATTACGCCACGGCGTCTTCTTTCGTAGGAACTTCCACTCGATGGCTGTTGCTCTCGGTCTGAAGGAGCGGATTCGTCCTCAGGTTCAGTGGAGTAATGATCTTCCTCTGCTTCTGGTTCCTGGTCTAGGTCTACTTCATCCTCGTCCGAATCTCGTCCCTCGGAGGATGGAAATCGTTTCTTGTGGCGATCGTGAGGATCAACAGCTCCAAATGAGACTCTGTAAGCTTCTCGCTCCAGTTCTTCTCTTTCCAAACGAGCGATTTCTTGATCCCCGTACATTCTCGGATCGATCTGCGGTGGTTCTGGTTCGTAGGATTCCTCGGAGTCATGGTGAATGATTTTTGATAACTTGGGGATTGTCGCCTCATCGATTATCTCTGATTTTGATCCATGCAGGTCGTAGGGTAGTCTTTCGTCTTGGAGACTAGTTCGGTGTTCGTCAATCCACGCTATTGGTTCTGGGTCCTCGACGGATTCTTGTCCGTGCAAGGAGAGTCGTGGCTTCTCCAGATTAGGGTGTCTCCATGGCTTTTCCATCTCCTCCTCCTCGTCTTTGAGCTTGATGTCCGTGAAACGAGCAGTCCATCGACTTCCAAATGACGTTTTGGACTTTTTAACTCTTGGTAAGGTCGTGCTCTCGGATGACTGGGCCCTGGATTCCTTTGGGGATGACGTCGCATACTCACCGTGCTCCTTTGACTTTCGATCGAAGAGTCTTGGCACTGTGGAGAAGTCAAAAATATTTCGTCTTGATTCTGTCGTTGATTCACTCGAGTGCTGACGCTGTTGCTCCCCCAGGCTTGGTGTTTTACGTCTACCAGGTAAATGTGGCAGGTGAAAGCTCGATTTGCTAGGCATTTTTGGAAAGTTCGGGAATTTCGATCTGTCGGGGAGTGAGAATTTTGGTCGGTCTGGTAGTGATGATCTTATTCGATCTATTCTGCTCGGTTTATCTTTCCTAGATTCACGTTTACTCGTCCCCTCTGGAGACTTTGATTTCTCGGATGATCTTGTTTTATCAGAGGATTTTGATCGGTCCGATGACCCCGCTTTTGGCGATTTCTTTCGTTCGATTGGTAGAGTAAAATTGGGTCGCTGAATGCCTTTTATGCGGGAACGTAGTTTACCGGCTTGAGAGCGCAAACGCTCGGGAAAACCACGAGCACCACGATGCTGTGGTAACTCCTCCATCACCGAAGAGTCCACCTACGGAAACATCCCAGAATATCAAAATACAGCATCTTAAATTTAATCAGGGCATTCTACTCAGCTGCGAATGGGTAACGAGTCGATTTAGCTAACGGCTAGTTCTCCAGAAATATTTCTGAATCTATGAAAGATTGCGAAATTTTCCTTGAGACTTTCTACTTATCTTCCTTCACTCTAAAAAATCAATCTATTCATGGATTTAATTGCAATTGCAATTAACTTTGCACTCTGTAATAATTTCTCATCAAAACTGACCCATTTGAAACTGTACCGTCAAATTACTGAAGCCTGCATTAACAATATTAATATTAAATTAAAATTTTAAACAATACTTTGCTGATGAATATTCTCGCATAAAATACGGTACGTCTCGATGCGTCTCGTCACGAAGAATAATTTTTGTTGTAAATACATTTTTAGTTTCCATAAACATTTATGTTTAGAATATATTTTTTATCAGTTGTATTATATTTTTTATCAAATCGATAACTTTCATCTAAAATTTTTTCCGATTACTGCGCTCTTTCAGGATCTATTCAGTTACACGGAGAAAAAAAAATTCATTCGCCAAAAATATTTATCAATCACAAGAAAATATATTGTATTTAAAAATTTTATTTTATTGTTTTTATAATATATTTGGAAAAAAGAAATTTTTTTAGTTTATGCAGTCTTAAAGTGATTACAGATTTCTTGGAATTACATGTACCATTTTTGCTAATTGGTGATAATTATTATCTTGCATATAGTTTATTTAACAATTAATTATAATGACTCAATCAATTATACCGTTGTAATAACTTCGTAATTAAAGAAAATTTGGATTTCGTTGAATCTAGTAACGAAATTTCTCCCAGAGAAACGGAAGAAAATTTTCCTAGTGCACTCAACGGATTCGCATTCGTGAATTTATCCGCGGACTTTTAGTGTCTTTGCGACACATACGAGACAATATTTTTGGAGTCGACATAATTTTCGGATTTATTCCGGGAGTGCGGTATACTTGTCTCTTGTCGCAACAATGGCCTAGATAACGCGGTGGAAAAATAAAAGTTTCTAGGTCTGATGAGCTCATCATTCAAATTGAAATGCAAATAAACAAGGGATCTATAATTATGGTTGCAATAACCAGGTGACACGTGCACTTGTGTGAATTTCAAGTGCATTTACAACGGCTGACGTCACATGAAGATTATCTCCATCCACATAAACATTTCTGATACGTCTCACCTCTCGTTTGATATTCAATCAACTGTTCAATTCCTCAGAGAATTAAATCAACCGTATAAACAAATAAAAATAAATAACCGAAAACAGTATCTGCATTCCAGTAAACAAATAAGAATAAGTGAAGATTTCTGAGAAAATATTTTGAATTAATATCTCTAATATAGTTTCAGTAAATTTAAATTAGTGTTTTTAATTTAATTATGCGTTGATTAATATTGTAATTGAGGAAATCTTAAAACTTTATGTGGCAAAAGTGTATTTAGAAAATATAATCGTATAATAATAAATAATAATAATTTTTTCATCAAAGATGCATCAAAAGTTTCGTACAACTTTTTAATGTTTAATTGATGAATATTTCCACGGAGAGTTTACGAAGTGCTCGGGGATTAATTACACAATTAGTGTAATAACTACAGAATTGAAGATACATAAGTATATAAATAACAATTGATCCTACCTGACTGGTATTGACTTCGCCATAAGTTCTGGATTCAGTGACAGGTGTGGGAGCCCTGAGGAATTGCTCTTCAAGTCGATCCTGCAGTTGCTGTGCAGTTTCATGCTCAAGATCTTCAGAGGTATCACCACTCCCAAGCTCTCTACCTTCCATAGCGTTGTCCTCAATCTGTCCATCAAGCGGCAACACGACATCATCATCATCAAGTACAGGACCAGGTGTAAATCGTCCCTTCACGTCAATGCTGTCATCGCTATCAGCGACGGGGACGACGTCAGTGTCGATGATCCTGACGACGGGCGCCGTAGCAGAGGCCATTGTCCTCGGTACCAAAGCAGCACCAATCGGCTCATACTCATGATCACTATACACATAATTCATGTTTAACTCCAATATCCAGTGATCAATAGATTATCTACCCCAGTGCTATCAGTAATTCGACGATAAAAATCATTCAATTGAGTTCAATTCGAGTGATCGAACACGTCAACAACGGTAAACTCTTGGCAACCGATATTCTATAATTAAAAATAGTGTACTCGATGCGGTGTACATGATTTTGATATATGCTGAGAGGAATAGTGAGCCTCCAGAGGATTCAAGACATTCACGTCGTAGTCAGTCAGTCAGCGAAGACTGGACGCGGAAACCAGGAGAGGCTGACCGGTCTCTCGGTTTCTATCTATAGCCACCCGGGCGAACCTTAAATAGATGCGTTGGCTTTTACCGTGTTGCCGACTGTGACCAATGTGAAATTCAAACTACCCAGACAAACATACAAATTACGAAATCATTGCCGTTTCGACGTCATCAATTTTTATTTCAATTCGTGGTTTTAAATAGATGAGAGATTAAAATCAATGAATTTTCAGATGCTCCGGAAATCCCTGGCCTCCAGTTTATAATCCAGTCGGCCCTACCTTGACCTATCCACCCTGGGGACAACGCAATCCGAGTCAAGAGCCTTTTAGCATTACCCCAGGGTACAATTGTATGAAACAACTTACCAAGCACCAGAAGATTCAATAATTGAATTGGCATTTCTGGACGAGGGTCTCATCATCATCGCTCGTCTTTCTGGTAGCAATGAGTCACTCTGGAAATATTGACAACCGCATCGCACTTCTCTGCCATAGCTTGATGTTGATGAGGCCCTTGATCGGCCCTTTCCCTCCTGCCCCTCCATGATTATCACCACTTCCACCCTATTTTAAAATAATCAACGGCCCCATATCACCGTGAATTATTCCTCAGCAGCACTCAATCCCCCGATGATAAAAACCGGAGCTTGAGTATTCAAGGTGAATAAAAAAGAACCACCAAAAGGTGGTCAGCATCCACCAACAACTTGAGACGAGACACTACAGCGATAATCTCCCCTCATCATCATCCCCACTCTCTCGTACATCTAATCGCCACTTGGTTAGCATACCTGTGCCAAACTTACACCTCTAAACTTGTTTCTTTAATCTCCAACTACTGAGCATACCCCGGATAAATTCAGAGTACTCTGAGCTAGTGTATCTGTGATAATATAAATAGATTGTTGAGATGTACCAACACCAGCATTGCACTACCTCTTTGCATTAGTCTATAGGAATTTTGCTTTGCGCTCGCGCATTCAAACTGCAGATCCCTCTTTTTCTATCTTTCCCAATCAGATTGTCTCTCCCTTTTCATCCCAGAGTCTTTCTATTTCATCTCTCTTCCTCAACGCCCGAAAATTCTTTCATCTCACTATTTGCGCTTGAATGTCCATCGACCGCACTAGTTCCCAATTCTTGTGTCCATGCCAGACAGCCCAAAGGCAATTGTTCATCGATGGAAAAATTCATGTGGTATCACTGAAGTCGTTTCTTACGCGGAAAATATCCCGGTTTTCGGTCATTTATTAGTTTCTGGGAAAAATCTCTTTGGGATGAAGAGGAAATTACTGATTATAAAAATTATATCCTTCTTTTTTTATAAGGAATCATTCAGTGAGACGTCAGGGTTATAGTACTGCTGTTATTGCTCATCCCTTAATTTTTGTTGGATGAACTTTTTCTATTTTTATTCGTAGAAAAATAATTGCGAATGGAAATATCCTCTCGTATCGATTTACTCGTTTTAACTGTCTCGTTTATCGAGGAAATTTCACCCAAAAAGTTCTGAATATTTTAGCGAAAGTACTTTAACGATTTGTCTATTAATAAACGCGAGATAAATTCCAATTTATTGAATGATGCACTTGATGGGAAGAAATACCACATTTTGTGAAGCTTAAAAATCGATTAAAAAATTATGGAATTATTCCTTAAATATAATGCCGGCATGATAAAAAATCCTTTAAAAAATTATGCAGTGAAATTGATAGCCCTCCCTTTTGTTTAAACAGTTTTTAAAGTGTCCGATATAAATAAATTAATGGATAATATATAAATGCCGAATTGCTGAAGCATTCTCCAAATACTTTTAAAAAATGTAAATATTTATCGTCACGATTTGATATATTGTTTAAAGAGATTAAAATGAGATGTTAAATTGAGATATAAAATATTTTTATCGGCGACTGAACTGCTAAACAATTTTGTGGACGACTAATGGATTTATAATGTAATTCAACAAAAAATAGAGGGTAGGAATGCGAAAATGGATTCTAGGGTAAAATAGATGTTTGAGAACAAGAGGAGGTGAACACAGGGTTTTGTCAGGCGAATATTCACGCTCGGGTTAACGACTTTGACTTTGAAAGTACTATTCAATAAATACCGAACGTGTTTCCACATATTATCATCATTTTGTCAAAAAATATTCATCAAACTTTTTCATCACATCGTTTGCTTCTATTTTCGGATTATTGTGTATAAAATAATTTCATTTCATAAATATTTCCTTGGATTTCTGGTTTGTGAGAATATATTAGAACAATTTTTCACGTTCAAAATTGATGAAAAATAATATAAAGTAGTATTTGTTTTTTCAGAGAAGAAGAAAAAGAGGAGAGTTGCTCGAGTGAAGAATAAATAAACGTCTTGCCGATGAGAATTATCTGTTGTATAATATATTATTTATAATTATAAGCACTGTATGCGCGTTTCTCATCGCCAAGATGTTTGCTATTGTTTTTTCATTAAATTAAAAACAGTAGAGATAATGTTGTTTTTTTTTATAATTTTTTTTCTTATAAAAGTGAGAATGAATTGCGAGACGCGGTTTAATGAGGTCTCAATGTAACGATTTTATTGTAATTGTAATTGTCGTAATCGTAGTCGTATTGTTGGTAAGTGGTTGTTAACGGGGATATTGTGTCATTATCACGCTGATGACGATAGTGATGCCGGGGTCAGGCTAGCTCATTGCTGTCGGCAAAGTGATCGCGTGCATCGATACATGCTGCTAGATCGAGCACTATGTGGTGCAGCGTTGGATGCTGCAGTACTTCTGCTTCAGGCAGGGGTGGATGACAGCAGGGTCGTTGATGACGACCACGAAATGATCGGTGCAGGTGTAGTACAACGTCACAGAACACGTAGCGTACAACTAGCAGTCGCAGAAAGTCGTCGCCGAAAAATTGGAGAATACTGCTTTCTGAAAAATCATTGAAGGTCTAGATGTGAAGTAGGAAACACTGGGAGAAGTCAATATCATTTTTTAAGAATGGTAATACTTGGATTTGCAAAAATAATTATGAATTCATTTGCAATTAGATAATTTATACATTGAATGCGATTTAGTTGCAGAAAAATTATGAAATTTTAGATCTTCCGGAAAATTTACTCACAAATTCTAAGAATTTTCGGGAAATCAGAAATATCATCATTTTTTTTTACTTTTATTGGTTTTTCAAGATTGTAGAATAGATTTATCAAAATTTTTTATAACATTTCGAGTTTGCTTGATTGTTAGTTTAATTTTTTTACGAAATTCTGAGTCTTCAAAGACGAGATGTCCTGAAATTTCAGTGGAATCGCAGCAAGATAAAAAATTCAAGAAATTTATAATCCGTCTCGCAGTTCTCGATTGCCCCTGAAGACATATCTCAACAAAAATTTCGCTATCTCTTTTAATTTCGAAGATATTTCCGAAAGATTTTTTGAAGAGATAGATTAATTAATTGTCAATTGGGCAACGAAATAACCGAGAACATTAACTTTTTCTTTTATTTTATAATCGAACTCGCAAATTAACATCTTTCCCACGCATTCCCCATTTAATTCCGATATTTTCAATCATGATTATAATAATGAGGCCGATCAGAATGGCATTCAGTCTCAAACATTAAAAGAGCGACAGTTGCATTAACCGAGACATTGACGATATAAAATCAAAACTCCACCGAACAACTTCTACCTCCATTCTTCTTTCTTATTCATCTTCTTTCATCCATATTCACAGGCCAATGTCAAATATATCTGCACAGGAGGTATAAAAGAACATAAATAAACCCCAATAATTTACATATAACGAAAAAATATGACTTACCGCATCTGGAACGAATGACAAGACGGCTTGCCTCGATGAGAAAACGTTCAACATAACTCTGGCATCGTTCCCAGTGATGCACCGCTAAGCTACCGACGTTGCATATAAGGCAAAAGGCGGCAAGTGGTGAATGGAGAAAAAGGGTGAAGAGACTTCCACCATGACGTACATCACGTAGCGTTGGTGGTGTTTCTTGGGGGGACATAAGCACCATCAGTGGTTGACCAAAGTATCTTGGTATCTGCTGGAACACGTAGCTATTGTCCGAGTCAACAACCACAAACAGTGGCTTTCTTGTGAACGGATACAGATCACCAGGGTAAAGACAGTGGGGCTCTTTACCACCGCTCAGCCTCTTCCCGTGCTCGGGATCTCGTTTGTTGCTGGTTGTCACACCACCCAGGTCGTATCCCACTTTGTCATCATGAAAACAATTTCATTATTCTTATGAAGATTCTACTGCTCTTCGCACTTGTATGGAGAAGAATATTGGTATTTTTTTCCTAAAACTATCGACAGTTTGTTTTTTCATTATTTGAGAGTTTCTTTTTCGGGGGATTTGTCTTTATTTATTATCGGTTTGTGTTATTTAATTGGTGAGGATAATTTGGGGGTTCTGATTACCTGAGGAATCGATTGCAAATATCAATTGTTTTAATTGAATTGAAATTTGAACTCATATAATTAAAAATTGAGATGATTTTACGACTGAAGTTTCGCGATATTTTTGACAGTTTAGACGAATGAATGAATTTATTGAAGCAATTTTGTTATCGGAATAGTTTTGTAAATAATAACACGACTCTTCTGCCGAGATGTGTGCAGCAAGAAGAAGGATATCTACTTACTTTCCTCGGGATGTTTAACAGTGGAGAAGCATCCATCAGCAGAGAGATAAAGTAGTAGTGCACCATTGGCAGGTAGTTCCTTGAAACCACTGGCAAGAAATACCTGAACCTGACTGTACGTGGGTTTATATAACAGGTACTTGTGGGGATTTTCACGTCGTGGCATGCCATTCTCAGGTGGATATGGTCCAGGTCTGAATGGCAATCTACCAGCTGGTGATGCATCATGCATATGGGTAGGATCATCGCGTGGCTCTCTCTCGAGTGTCTGGAGCATTCTAAACATGTCAACTGATAATTCACTGAATTTAACCTGATCGGCGGAATTGCCAACAATAAGTATCTCTTGAAGAGTTAGGCACATGGGTGGTGATCGCTCGATGGGTGGTGACGTCAACGGACCAAGGCGATGCGTCAATACAACGGGATTTGAGTCGGCATGTAATACACCAACCGCCGATTCAGCTTTAACAAAACCCTTTATCTCCTCAAGCACCAAATTCCATTCAACCTGATCCTCTGGCTCGTACGTACTCGCGTAATCAGCTATTTGTGTGTCCAACTCTTGGACAAGTTCCCGCACTAATTTCATTTTGTTGAGTAATAAACAGACAACGATAAAACGTGCGTAGTAACGCAATTTTTTCACCATTAAATCACTACGATCTTCCTTAGCTGCACGACTGTAGTATGCACGTCCTCTTATTGCTGCGTAGAATGAGTATGCCTCGTGGAGGTAACTCGTTTCACTTGTACGTAGGTAATAGTGATAATAAAGTTGACCAATTTTACTTGCTATCTCACCGATTTGCCAACGTTTCAGACCGTACTTTGTGTCCAATATTGCTCTGAAAATTCAAAATATTATCATTAAGTGGATAAATATTATTTTTACTTTATTTCCGGCTTCTCCATTTTTCGTTTTTCACGGATTAACGAAAATTGCAAACTAAATTTGCAGTTCTCTCATTTTTCCATTAAATTTTTAGTTTATACTGATAAAACTATCTAATGATAAATATTTGTTGGATTCATAAACTAGAATGACTGAAGTAAATATTAATATTTTGTTTAATAATCAATTTCGAAAACTATTGATTTTATTGGGAAATGTTAAAGGACTTTTAGTAATTGATTGAACTTCGGATAAAAACGTTTTTTTTTTATCGTTCATCAGGAAATCAATAGTTTTTGAGTTATACGTTGTGAATTGTTATCCGCTTTTTTAAAACATTTTTTTATGTGCATTGGATGGCCGAGTACATGCAGGGGATGGAAGAGCTAAACGACATGTCTAAATAATGAAGCAGAATGGGAAAGAGATAACACAATTCATTTGCATTCTTCTCGCCTCGCGGTGACTATCGATCCATTAACAGGATGGCACTCCAGACAGATTTTTCCCAGATTTCTCATTAATATTATTTCAGTGTTACTTCCAGTTGCCACTGGCGAAGTGATACCAGGATTTTTCCAATTGCCAAAGTAATATTGGGACAACCTGTGTCCGGTGATTTAAACTTTTTGGGAAAAGATCTCAGCCAAAAGAAGTTAATTCCATATCGCTGTTTGGTTTCTTTCCAAGTATCATTTTTTTATCCTTTTATTTTGAATTATCTGAGTATATCCGTTCACGAATCAGGACAAGGACATTAGTGCAGTTCCAAGTGCCGTATAAAATAAATCCTCGGAATTCCTGGAAATTTATACTTTTTACGGTAATTTCGTGGTCCGGTTTACTCTACCCACGATAAATATATATTATTTTAAATTATATCTAAATTATATTATAAAAATAGTGAAATTAAACGTTTTCTCTTGCGAATACTAAACTAGAAATTGTTAACTAATTCTTGGCTTTTTGACTTTTGACTGTTGATATTCAATTCAATTTCATTAATTCAATCGCAGTCGTTAGGGGAAAAATGTTTATAAAAATCTTTGTTTAAGATGAAATTTCCGAAAATTTATGAGTTTTCACTGCACTTTAAATACTTCGCATAGAAACCAAACAAATTTTCAATTTTCCCTGGATTTTCTTCTTGTATTTCCCTGAAGACAATGAAATATTTAATTATTAGATGACAAACTTGGTTGAATCATCAGTAGAAGTTGACTGCAATAATGTCCTCCCTGAAAGTTTAACCCTGAAAATTCATAGGAAATTTTTAATGAGTGCACTGGCGTAATGTGAAATAGTAAATTCCACGTCAGCAAATCGAACTAGTTCCATTCACTCTGGATAGAAGTTGGTCGAGGTAGATACAAAGCCCCACAGGAAGGGGTGTACAAAATAGGGGTTGGGGGGTTGAAGGGGAGCTCTACATGTGGAAGCGTGCGTGTGCTGGGATGGTGGTGCTGAGAAATAGAAGTAGGGCGTAGTAGGGTTGCGCAAGAGAGTGAGAATAAAAAAAGAAAGCGATACCGAAGTAAAGACAGAGAGAGACCTTGCAATGAAGGGGAGAAGGTGGGGCTGATGAATTCCCAAAACGTGATTCATACTTGGCTAAAAGAACCGAACAAAATTCACATTTCAAAGAAATCAACCACACGAAATTCTCCAGTGAACTAGTAGAACTCACCCCCTCGGGTTTTCCAAAATATCTCCAAACCGAACCTAGATACCAAAATTTTCATAAGACCCTTTTTCGTAGGGCTAACTGAGAGTTACAAAAAAGGTCATTACAAAAAATTCGGTACGTTCCCTCGTTTCGGAGATATTATCGAAAAACCTTGGAAAGAACTTGAGAAATAATTTCACTCTGTTTTACTACTTTGGGGGGGAGTTTATTGATTGGATTAATTTATAATAGTAATTTCTCACCTGTGCTGTTGTTGAAACTTCCACAATTTTGTATATATATCGAAGGTCCTTCCAAAGTAGGCCTGCCACTGCTTGTGACCATACTGGGGTAGGTCGCGTAGACCATTGAACAGCTGCTTGCTCTTTTCGAGTAGATGGCAAAATTCCATGACGATTTTTCTCTCGTGATCGTCCATACCAGCCATCATGACCATTTTTTCTTCGTATATTTAACGGCCGACGGACTGCTGCTGCTGATGATGTCAGTGGTTGGCCGATGTTGCGCCCTGCCTCCTGCAGTCCGGGCCACCACCGTTTTCCTCCACCGTGATGCCCCGTGATTGTCGTTGCTGCCCCGTTTTTCAATAACTCGAGACACAACGTACAAACACCTACGTACTCTTGATCGATCCGTTATGACTCGCTATTTTTTCAAATTACATTCAACCCCTTCTCTCCCTCGTGTCGCACAAGACAGTATCATTGCTGTGTCGTCATACCGATATGATAATCCCTGGCTTTGAAATTTCGTTGGATGTATTTATTTATTTTTTAAATAAATTATTGGTTACACTTGACATGGAACTTGGATGACTAGCTGTTAAAATTTTTTCAAGGTACCTTGGAGCCCTGACAGCGTGTCCTGTGAAACACAGCGAACTGAGACGCCTGTCTGACACTCTTTGGAGACCGTTCCACGATGGTCTGTCGACGCCAACGCCAATCAATAAACGACGCAACACTATTATACGGTTACATGGAGTTTAGAGGGGGTGTACGATTCAGAGGGCATTCTCGTAGTGCCATCGTTTGGGGGTTGAACGAGTCTATTGAGGGTGGATCGATGGATCCTGCGGGGTGGTGGCTGATAACCGGCATCCTGGGATCACCTAGGGGATGAGTCGGTAGGGGAGATTTTCGTCAGACGATTGCCGGTATCGGAGACCCCATAACCAGTGCTTTTCACCCTTAATTTTGTTATCCAACCCTCCACCAGATGGAACTCTAATTCATCTTGTTATGCACAAGTAGAATTACTTGATACGAAAGACGAAAGATTTTTATATCTTTCTTTATTCTTCGTATAGACAGAATGATTTCTTTGAGTCCCTTAATTTTGTCTTAATATGGGGCAGTGGATAAACCCGTTGTTTCACATGCGACGACAGGTAGCGAGTTCGAGTCTCGGTTGGGTAAAATTTGTAAGACTTGAAAATGTAAAGTCTCGATCACATCGGCGAATAAAAGCTGAAAAAATAGTTAAAGGGAATATAAAATAGGATTATAACCGATTGCAATAGGCAATAGTGATACGTGAAAAAATACCTAAAGCGATGTAAAATAGTAAAAAAATAGGATTACATCCAATTGTAATAGGTAATAGTAATAGGACTTGACCAGACTAGTGGATGGGATAAAAAAGGAAAAATCAGAGAGGGGGAGTACAAGCTGAAAAAATAGTTAAAGGGAATATAAAATAGGATTATAACTGATTGCAATAGGCAATAGTGATACGTGAAAAAATACCTAAAGCGCTATAAAATAGTGGAAAAATAGGATTACATCCAATTGTAATAGGTAATAGTAATAGAAGGACATGACCAGACTAGTGGATGGGATAAACAAGGAAAAATCAGAGAGAGGGAGTACAAGCTGAAAAAATAGTTAAAGGGAATATAAAATAGGATTATAACTGATTGCAATAGGCAATAGTGATACGTG